TTGAAATACCTCTAACATACAACGATTTCTACCCTATATTATGTCATTTTTCTTTTCTTCGATAAACGTCAATAAACCTAGAGTAACAGTTATATATATCTATATCTATATATATATATATATATATAAAGTAACCAATTTTAAATTTAGTTTTTGCTTTTGCATGGATAAGTAAAAACAACAGCCAAATTAAACGTTTGCACTGAGAACAGGGTGTAACCCGTGAGTAGGAATCGATCCTTTCTAAAGTGTTTTCACTTTTCACACAAATCCTCCCATCGCTTGCAATTATGGATGGCAATGGGACCATGTAGCGGGCTGTAGAATATTTATATTCAATTTATCAGATAAAAAATCTGTCCCATGTTTATTTTATATTTGCGCGAGTATTTATATAATGAATATATGTGAAATTTTTAAATATTTATGGATATTTATAAATTATTTTAAAAATTAAAATATTATAAATAATTTTAAATTTATATTTGATATTAAATATATTAAAATATTAAATATAAATAATTGATATTAATTTTTGAATTTTTAATTAATGATAATTTTTTTGAAATATTAAAATAATATAAAAAATATGAATATTTAAATAATATTATTTAATAGATACTTGCGGGTATGAATATTAGTGTACTTGTCCTACTCCATTTATAAATGGGTAAAAAATATTTGTACTTGTTATCCCCGAATATTCATTTTGACTACTAATTTATTATTTGTAGCATATTTTATCTATACAGATATCAATATTTTTGTCATTCCTATTTGCAATACTTGGATAAAAATTCTTAAGGAAGAATCCAACAACAATATAATCACATAGAATTTACTTTTAATATATTATCATTGTAAAGAATTTTTTTTATTATTAATTATAAATTACTTAAATATTTTTTTATAGATACTTGAATATAATTTTTAAAAAGTCAAATTTTTAATGATTTAATTATATTTTTAGTGTCTCAAATTTGTTTCTGGACTCTTAAATTTAAAACTTGTCTTTAATTTCAAAAAATATTGTTTTGATTCCTCAAATTTTTGTTACAGTTCAAATGTAAAGTAGAATTAGTACATAAATAACATTAAAAAAACGGTCATACGTGGATCTACCTTGATTCCTCAAATTCAAAACTTGTATTTTTAGTTTTAAAATATCAAAGAATACTATTTTAGCCACTAGTACCATTATTGTTATTGGAAAATTGAGAAACTAAAATAATAAATTTTTAATATTTTAAGAAGTAAAAGTTCAAATTTTAAATTTTGAAAAAAAAAATGTATATCTTAAATTTAGAAGACTAAAAACATATTTAAAATATTTTTTTAGAGGATATTTAAGATATTTTTAATTACATAACAGTTTATAAATATTGAAGAATAATATATCGAATTAAATTCTAAAAAGGAGAATCTTTGGAAAAATTCTAAGAAATATGTGCGACTATAGGGCAAATAATGTTCATATTATTTTATTAGATACAAAAGATCAACTCAGAATATGGAAAACAAAATACAGATTCATGACCAAGTTGAAATTAATAAGGAAAAAAGTGATACTATAATTATTTGGCAACAAAAATTTCTTTATATATATATATATTATTATATATAAATTTGAATTAATAAAACAAAATATCAAATAATTTTCAATATTTTTTTAAAATTTGTAAACATGATTTATGCATTACGAACTTTAATAGTTAGAAATTTGTCGTAAAATATAAATTGTTGAACTAAAAAATTTAAATCCTCACTCTGTTTAAAAAATCCAACTACCGAATATATTTAGGGGGGTGTATTGGATTAGGATTTTAAAGGATTCAAGAATTACAACAAGGGCACCGTCGAGTTCCTCGAAGTCACAATCGGGACCGCCATCGAGCTCCCACCATGGG